CCCAGAAGTGGACCCTGAACTTTATGCTCAACTAATATACAATAAAGGAGGAAAGACGATCCACTAGAAGAAAGACAGTCTCTTCAATAAATGGTGCTGGGAAGATTGGACATCCACATGCAGAAGAATGAAACTGGACCACTCTCTTGCACCAGACACAAAGATAAACTCAAAATGGATGAAAGATCTAAATGTGAGACAAGATTCCATCAAAATCCCAGAGAAGAACTCAGGCAACACCCTTTTTGAACTTGGCCACAGTAACCGGAGAAGGACAAACAGTGTATGTTCTCATTCATTTGGGGAATATGAATAATAGCGAAAGGGAATATAAGGGAAGGGAGAAGAAATGTGTGAGAAATATCAGAAAGGGAGACAGAACATAAAGACTTCTAACTCTGGGAAATGAACTAGGGGTGGTGGAGGGGGAGGAGGGTGGGGGGTGGGGGTGAATGGGTGACGGGCACTGAGGGGTACACTTGACGGGATGAGCACTGGGTGTTATTCTGTATGTTGGTAAATTGAACACCAATAAAAATTAATTTATAAAAAAAAAATAAATTGTAGTCTGTTTGAATCTACACATACAAAAAGGATATTTTCTTTATCTTTTGGATGTAGAATGCTCAGGAATTTGTTGCTTTGGGGAGGGGCAGTCAAAAAACAGGGAAGAATAACCTTGGCCTCAGACCTGGGTTCTTGCTCTTGTACCTACCACAACTCACTTCCCCAAATTCCAGCTGCCGCATCTTTCAAATACAGATTGTAATTTCAGTTTTTTAGGATTGCTAATAGAATAATGAGATAATTCCTATAAAACGCTTGGCTGAGTACCTGGCATAGTGTATGTGCTCAATAATTATTAATTATTATTATTACACCTGTGCCAGATTATTTGATGTTCTCGAGATGCACCCTTCTTCTTCACGGATCAGAGTCCCATTCCTTTTGGTAGAATTTATGCCTCACCCCTTCCCATGTTTCTACCTGTGATGAACCCAAGGTCAAGTTGTACATCATCTAGAAGTGCTTTCTCCTTTCCTGAAACGCTGATTATTTATACTGTTCACATCTCACTTAACATAGATTGCCTTGTATTTTACACTACCCCTGTATTTTGCTTGTCTCCCCTTAGTTTGTAATTTTCCTTGTGGGAAGAGCATACATCTCGAACATCTCTATTTTGCTCCCAGAAGCTTGCATGGTGTCAGCCCACAGAAGTAGATGCTCCACAAATACTGATTATTTACTCCTGCAGAAAGGCAACCGGGCAGTGAACAAATACTGGTTGAAAGAAAGAAGGCCTGGATTAATTAAACACATGCTTTTGGCACAGTGGTCAGGCCCTACCAGAGGAGATTTGACTTTAAGGTTGGTTTGTCGCATGATGTCCTTCACTGTCCTTAAAACATAATTTACCCAACTCCTTGCATTGTGAATTGACATGGCGCATGCTTGATAGAGATGCATCGGGACATCAACTTTGAGTGGCTTTATTCCTGCCTATCAAGTGCATGCAGAAGGAAAAGGACAGTTGCAGTCTCCTGGAAAGAGAAAGAAGAAACAAAGAACATATATCATAATGGATGCACTATGACCTTGAGTCAAGCCTCACAATGAAAGAAAATGTGTCAAGTTAATTATTAATCAATTCTGACTTGGGGGGGGGAGTCCAGGCACTTTCTCTGGCAATGAGAGCTCTGATGTCTAAAAATTTTGTCTTTGGTAGCAAAATCAAGTCTTTTTATTTGTAATGTTATAAGCCTGTAAAGCCCTCGTAGGAGTGTTTTTGGATGACAGCGTTTGCAGATTTCAACAAGTTTTGACTCGGATTTTGATTGGGGCAATTAACGGGTCACAGGTAGTAAGACTGATTCTGATACTATGCTCACCTGTGGCTATGGGTTTGCTTTCTGATGTCCTGAGGAATAGCTACATCCTTCACTTTTTATATACCTAAGTTTTGCTCTCTAACAGGATGTATGATATGGTGAAAAGTATTTGGGCCTTGGAGTTCACCAGACCTAACTGAGAACCCTAGTGTCTCCACTTACTAGCTAGATATCTGAGTTGGAGCTTCTCCTTCCTTATCTAGAAGTGGAGGAGAACAGTGTTGTTAGGTTACTTTGAACTTCAGTCATTGTTGTTAACGTTATCAAAATCCTTCCCCTCTTTGAGGCTAACATTTGTTGACCTCCTAGTATATACCAAGTGTTGTTCCACATGTTTTACATGGCATAGCCCGTTTGACTTATTCCACATACATTAGGAACTATGATGCCAGTGGGCATGTTGTAGGTGTGTGAATTTTATTATTTAATAATAATTACTACCTTTTGGTTTACAGTTCTGTTTCAAAGGAAAAAAGTCTTAGAATGTTGTCAATAAAAGGATTTAAGCTTGGAGTTTATATAATTCAAGGATTTTTATATTTTTTAAAGCCTAACACTGTTATTCACACAGTCAGTATGTCAAAATAAAAGAGCAGAGCTATTCTGTTTGAATCTGGTGTGGGGCACTGGAGCCCTATCTGATGATTCATCTGTGCCCCAGACTCGAGCAACAGTTTCAAAATCATTGGTGTCCATTTCCAGTATATGTGCCTAGGTAGGTGAAGTGATTTATTGTCTTTCTGGCTGCAGAGCCTGGATTAGAAATTAAATCTCCTGACTTCAAGACCATTGTTTTCGATTAGACCACAATATGTAACCTAGAAATATAGTTCACGAAAATGTATGGATTTAAAGATGATAAAGCACCTTTCATATACCTTATTATATTTGAATTTAAGGGGTAGGTATAATCTATTGCTCCTAGTTCAAGTGGGAAATGATACATAATGTATAAAATAATGTATAAATTCCCCCCCCACTTCCCGCCAAATTTGATGGAACCTAGTAATGGAAGGAAAAAAAAAGTCAGACCAGAAATACTGAAAAAGGGTGATTCCATTGAGCTATAAACAAGCACACTGGAGTTAGGACTTGCCCTGAGGGCAATTTCTAATCCCTGGTGGGAGAAACTGCCTTCTAAGAAACACTATAAATAGACAGGAAACCAGACCCAGGGGCTTCGTGAGATATCAAGAACCCTGAGGGGAGAATCCTTAGTTGGTGATGAGGAAAAGCCCTCTCGCAAATGGAGGACTTATCTTTGTCTTGAGTCTACATTAAGGGTACTGGGGAGAAAATGTAAAGTGATCTGGGGTTGAAGGTTCCCTCAGACATTTGACAGAATCAAACACAAATCCTCTCTGAAGAAATGCAGTTTTAAAACCCAAATCTCAGTTCCCACAGATTAAATGATAAAAAAATGAGTTTACAAACAGAAGAATCACTGAACATACCAGAAAATAGGCCTTTCACAATACTTAACAGAAACCACAAACCACAAAATCAAAGGTACAGAGACTGAAGATCTTGGAATCATCCCTGTAAGATACACATGTCTCATGTGCTTTTTTTGATAAAGGAAATTAAAAGGTAAAAATGAGACTATGAAATTTGACCCGAGAGAAAAAATCAGAATTCTAAAAAATCTATCAGTGAAATACAAATGATTTTGACTAAAAGTGAATATGATGAAGTTTGTGAAAGAATAAACAGAGATACATCTGGAAGTTACCTAGAATTCAGCAAAGAAAAAGGGGAAGAAATACTAAAGGTGGGCTCAGCATGGAAGAGAGTTTGAGAAGGAACATTGATCTCATTGGGATTTCGGTATGAGAGAATAGGGAAAATGGTGAAGAGAATGTCTGAAGAGATGTTCTCTGAGAATTTTCCAAATTGATGAAAGATTTAATCTTTAGATTCAAGAATCCCAAGAAATCCTAGGAAGAATAAATAAAAATGAATTCACATGTAGAGTAAAATTAAAGATTACAGAAGGGACATTTAGGCAAGTTAAGATGGAGCTCGGTTGCTCTCAAAATACCTTTGCTGAAGAGTGTCTATAGGACACTTTAGGGAGAAAAGTAATTATCCTGGAAGGAATGTCTGGGATTCAAGAAGGAATGTTGAGAAAATAAATGTTAGACATGTGGTTTAGAAAGGATGCCCTGGGAAACCTATTCAGCATGTTTCTTGCAGCACTGCTTGTGATTCCAAACCTGCAAGTCACCCCAATGCCTGTCTGTAGCATCATGGACAGATGGTGGAATATTAATGCTTCAGAATATTATACAGCATTGACAAATGAACTACAGCTATGGGTATTACCAGGGATGAATAGAAAAAAAAAACCCAGATTATCTAACACAGGATTTCTTTCATGTGTAGTTAAAAATGGGCAAAACCTGAATGATCTACTCGGAAATAAGTACCTATATCTGACAAAACTATAAAAACATGCAAAGTAGTGATTAACATGAAATTCAGGATAGTTCTCTTTAATGGCTGGGAGGGGGACTCTTTGGAGGGTAATTAGGGGTACTGATAATATTCTGGTTGTTTTTGTTTTATATACTCAAATAGATTCATTTTATAAACTTTCTACGAATCCTAAATTTTGTGGGGAAACACATCTAAAAGGACTGGTTATATAAGAAAATGGTGGGAAGGGGATAAAAGTCTTCAGGAAGAGGGATCCCTGGGTGGCGCAGCGATTTAGTGCCTGCCTTTGGCCCAGGGCGCGATCCTGGAGACCCAGGATCGAATCCCACGTCGGGCTCCTGGTGCATGGAGCCTGCTTCTCCCTCTGCCTATGTCTCTGCCTCTCTCTCTCTCTCTCTCTCTCTCTGTGTGACTATCATAAATAAATAAAAATTAAAAAAAAAAGTCTTCAGGAAGAAACCTACTTGGGGCATTAAGGAGAGACCTCTCAAGCACGGGACAGTCCAGGGTTTCCTATTTCTCCTCTCACACCCCCTTCTTACCCACCCTTGCGTACTGCCAAGGTACGTTTCCATGCGTGGTGCCGATACACTAAAGATAATTCACGCTTCGTTATTTGCAAGTCTTTTGTTCCCTTCTGATGTACAACATTTTATTCACTTCTTTTAGGTCACAACTTTTGTGCAGAAGGACCTAAATGTGGTGAAAACTCGGAGTGTAAAAACTGGAACACAAAAGCTACTTGTGAGTGCAAGAATGGTTACATATCTGTCCAGGGAGACTCTGCCTACTGTGAAGGTAAGGAAGCTGTTTAATAAAGTCATTTGTGAGAAATGTATTCCTGGTAGATCTAGTTGAAGGTGGAAAGCCATCACTTGGGTCTGGTCTTCTGGGATCCTACAAGAAATCACATCAGCTGTCTCGGGTCTGCGGTTCTCCTGGTGTACGCAGGCTTCTCGGTAGCATGGAAAACAAGACCTCTGGAGTTCTGAAACACAGCAAAGCAATCAAAGGGCCATATCAGATCCCACATTTTGCTGTCACTGTATTTAACAATCACTAGCAAGGTCATAAGCACGTAATTTTCTATTGAGTAGATTATTCTAAATTCAACTAAATGTGACATCGTCGATCTGCTTTTTGAATGCTGCTTTGAGGCTAGCTTATAAATCACTGCTTTTTTCTTTACCTGCCAAGGTCAGAATATTTTTTCAACTGGCTTTCTTAATGACTGATTCATGAGTTGCTAATTCACAAACTGTACCAAAAGTCACAGTGACAGATGGACTCATAACTTCGGCCCTTGGACGGATGCCATTTATAGGGGTTAATGGCTTCAAGCATCAGTGATCCCATTTCCACTTGAGAGAGCAGAACAGTTCCTGTGTCTTATGTGAACATGTCTTTCTGAGCTCAGCACTCCACCTTGCTAGTGGCAAGCCTTGCACACCCCTGCTCCTGTGGAGTGCCCTCGGATCTGAGCCCATCCATTCTCAGGTGCATCCTGGCTTGCTTTGGTCAGCTTAGAAAAGTTCCAAAGGAGTGACGGTGAGCTGTTTGTGTGTCCAGGGTGGATGTACTCATTCCTGTCTTCTTCAGAAACAACATGTTGAACCTCAGAGCTCTGTTACTCTGGAGGGTAGATGTCTAGAACAGAAAGAATGTTGCAAAACCTTGATCACACTCTTCTGATTGGTTTGTTTTTCCAGGGGCTCAGGTAGTCTCATAGTAAAGACAATTCATGATGGTGATGGTAAATTTTTCCCCATTCTGTTTTGTATCATTGACCCCTGCTTAATTTTTTGGCTTTGACTAAAGATCTCTTGAAATTTTTTGAAATATTTTTTATTTATTTATTCATGAGAGACACAGAGTAGGAGAGAGAGGCAGAGGAAGAAGCAGGCTCCATGCAGGGAGCCTGATGGTGGGATTCGATCCTGGGTCTCCAGGATCACAACCCAGGCTGAAAGCAGCGCTAAACCGCTGAGCCACCCAGTGGTTGGGCTGCCCAAGATCTCTTGAATTGTTAAGAAAATGTGTGTAATCCTCACTAGTGCTCAGTACCTGGTGGGTGGACTGTGGTTTTGATTTCTCCTAAAAGACTTGGTTTGCTACTGGTTTGTTTCTTACTAACAATAAAGTATAACTAATAGGTTTTACCTTTTCTCCTTTACACCCTTTTCCCCCTTTTTGCTTGCTTTTGTAGATTTGAACTTGCTGTTGGGGAGGATGAAGTTGTCCCTTTGCTCATTAACCTTTTTTCATCTATCCTTCAATAATCTGTTACTCATTTAGCAATTTTGAGGAAGAACACTATTAATTTCTTTAGAATTTATTTATTTTTAGAGAGAGTATGTGTATGAGTGGGGGAAGGGGCAGAGGGAGAGAGGCTATCTCAAGTGGACCCCTTGCTGAGTATAGAGCTCGATGTTGCTGGAGCTAGATCCCACGACCTGGAGATTATGGCCGAAATCAAGAGTTGGATGCTCAACCGACTGAGCCACCCAGGCTCCCCAGAACACTATTAATGTCAGTATCTCACATTAGTAACTGCTTTTTGTATCTTAGGCTGCTTTTTATTTTTTGTCATAAAATAGAGTTTCAGAACTTTAAAATATGAACATCCTCCTCATTTACCATGGAAAAATCCTATAAGCCAGGTAATGGTCTAAAAAGTTTACTCACTATTATCTGTGGGGATAGACTTGGAACACTTAGAAAAATGACAGAAACCATCTCAAAATAATTTGAATCCTGACTTGCCTCCTGGCAGAACCAGTATACCTACCATTCTTGGCTCCCTTTAGCTGTTGACACCTAGCAGAATCTGGGAGAAAATGGCTGGTGTGAAAGGCTGTTTGGGACTCTGATTCATTCCTCACTGATGCATTCCATTTTTTTTTTAAACATAGAATCACCTCCATGGAAAGCCAGTTGTGACCGTATATCTGTCCTATGCATGTGAGGCCTTACTTATAGATGACATTGAGTGATTTTAGGTCTGAATGACTGTTTTCTTGGACATACTTAGTCTAGTGTGTGTGCCTGGCCTCAGACCAGCGTGTACTGTGCTGCCATCTTGGGTGATGGTGACGTGCTCAAGCTTCAGGCTTTTCTCTTACTGTGGAGACTTTCCGCAAGTTCCAGCAGGCTTGTGCATGGAGAGAAGGAGAACACCAGGAAGAAATCACCAAATGTTAGATCCCGTGTATGGCATAAAAATAGAACTGAGGAGTAAAGCAGGAATCAAATACTGGGCATCTGCGTGGGGCGTATGGAGAACAAACTAGAGTGATATCTGTGTTTAGAGCAAGTGCCCATCTCTCCTCTCATTCTGCCATCCTCAGCACCTTGGTCTTGGGGCTTATTTTTCTATGGTGGCTGATAATTGCCGTAGCCCTGGGCATGGTGTCCGAACACCAGTGTCATAGGCAAAGCAAGGAAGGAAGGGGGAAGGAGTTAAAAACCTTCTTTATGGGAGGTTCTTTCTTTTTGTACTTAAAGAAAGCTCTTCCTGGAAGGTTCCTTGTAACTCCCCTGTCCCTGCCCCCATGCAGGAGGAGGTTTTTGCTCTCATATTTTTCAGACCAGGTTGACATCCTCTTTACCTCTAGACCAATTTTTGTCAAAGGGGAATGAGATGACTATTACTGGTTTGGGTTGTGTTCAGTTCTTGGAGCTGGAGAAGGTGTTTGCCTTCCCTGAGACCAAATGATCCTTGTCCTTTACCTAAACCACTTAGGATTGTGGCAGTGGGAAAGGGGGAGTGGTTTTAGGTGGGCAAAAGGCTATGTCTATCTCATTCTTTTATGATTAAATGAAGTCTGTGGTCATTTCTCCAGCCCTGTCATCAGAATTATGCTATGTGATGGATCTGATAGACAGGATGAAAAGTCACCAAGTGCCCCCTGGGTACCAGGGACTCTGAGGCTGAGTTCACTGTCTTACCATAGTATATAGAGAAGTATACTTATGAACTGCCTCAGGCTAGTTATTTTTTTACTCTGAGTAAATGGAGTGAAAATGACCCATATTGTACAAACCACAATGAACAAGACTGCCTTGCAAATTAAAACAAAATATTACACACATTGTCCAGGCTATCTTGAAAAGCCTATTCAGGCTCTCAGTGGAAAAGGAAGCACAAAAAGCTTTCAATTTTCTTAACTTCCTAGGGTAGTAGCAGAGATACGGCGTATTAAAGACTCCTGCTCTGCAGAGATTGCTGGAGAAACCGCCATAGAGAAGCTACCGGAACTCTTAGTCAATCAATAGAAGATAATAAGACCTTTTGTCAGCTTTGAGACAATTCACCGGAGATCATTTCATTTTGCCTCATCCAACTCAGCACCAACATTCCCCATTTTGAAAGACAGTTTTAGTTGGGTTTTGGTGTTTTATGAAAATGGTCCGCTGAGGCTTTTTATCTCTGCGATGACATTTTCAATGAGTTGGTCTTAAATAGTTTCTGATACGTTGGCTTAAATTAGAGGCAGTGTCTCAGGAAAGCATAGGAATTGGGGGTCTACTTCATGATCTTGAAATTGGAGTCTGCATAAATAGTCTCATAAACTTTTTCTTGCCGTAATAAAAAGTTACTTAGAAGAAGAGAACAGTGTGATGTCGTATACATCATGCGATCTGCCAAGCCTGGGAAGTACCACAATTATCATTAAGTCATAATAATTTCTACTTATAGACTGTTCTGGATTTTTTTCAAACTCCTTTTATATATATTCTACTCTTTGAGACTTACAGTAAATTTGTAAGGAAAGTGGCAGCATTGACCACATTAACTTCATCTTACAGGTGCCAGATACTAATACTCAGAGAAGTAAAGATTAGTAGTCAACTCCTTTTTACTCTCTACCTCTCCATCCCCCATCCTTTTTCAAGGTTGTATTTTTGTTCAGAATACTTGCTGCCGCCTCGATCCAATGAAATATGAGTGGGTGTGACACGGATAGAAGGGTAGAAGCTCTACGAACTGTTCTAAGGTTGCACCCCATTCTCTTTCCTCTGTAACACAAAATTGGCGATATTCCACAGCAGTGCTGCTTTAGCTAGGGTTCCAGAATGAAGAGGGCATAGAGCAGTGGGACAACAAGGTGATGGACTGTGGCATGAATGAGAAAGAATCATGTAAATCACAGAAACCTTGGAGGTTGCAATAATTTGAGGGTGCAATTACCTTTGCATAACTTAGCCAAAGCCTATTACATACGTTCCTGAATTAGTTGGTCCAAATTTTGTGGTTTCAGGAAGATACCTCTAGCTCAGGACTGAAAGCATTTTTTTAAAAAAATAGAACAAGCATTGAAGATTATTAGAAAAACTGCCAATTGAGCAGATCATTAATTGTCTGCCGTGGTCCTGCTGCCATGCAATAGACTTTTTGCAGATTGCAAGTTGTAAATTAATGCTTTGGTATGGCCAATTCCAATATGGGAAATTGGGTTTCCCAATTACAATGATAATGAAACAATGCATGTCAAAGACTTAGGAAATTGTCTGGTATTCACTGAACATTTAATGGATCACAGTAGTTACCATTATTGTCCTCATTAACTTATTTTTTTTATTTAAATTCAATTAGCCAAAATAGAGTACATCCTTAGTTTGAGAGTTCCGTAATTCATCAGTTGCATATAGCACCTGGTGCTCATTACATCATGTGCCCGCCTTAATGCCCATCACCCAATTACCCCATCCCCTCACCTACCTCGCTACCAGCAACCCTCAGTTTCTTTCCTATTATTAAGAGTCTTATGGTTTTTCTCCCTCTCTGGTGACTTCCC